CGCGCACACGCACACGCACGCGCACACGCGTACGCACACGCACACGCACACGCACACGGACACGCACACGCACACGCACACGCACGCGCACGCGCACGCGCACACGCACACGCACACGCACACGCACACGCACACGCACACACACACACACGAACACGCACACGCACACGCACGCGCACATGCACACGCACACGCACACGCGCACGCGCACGCGCACGCGCACGCGCACGCGCACACGCACACACGCACACGCACACGCACGCGCACGCGCACGCGCACACGCGCACACGTGCGCACACGCGCACACGCGCACACGCACACGCGCACGCGTGCGCTCACGCACGCGCACACGCGTTCGCGCACGCACACGCACACGCACACGCACATGGATAGGGGGAGACGCGCGGCCCAACAACAATATCCCCGACCCTCCATGGGCGGACAGGGGCCTCAGACCGCTCTCAAGACCCCCTGGTGACGGTCGGGGCGGGACCCAGAAGGACCCACAAACACACCACGATGCCCCAATAGGGCCTCAGAAGCCTCCCAGATGCTCCGAGAAAGCTCCAAGCCCGTTCCCAAGAGGCTTCCAACAGGCAAGAACCAAAGATTTCCATTGTTTTTCATGTTTGTTGGCGTTTTCGGTTTGTCGGCTTCCCGACGTGTCGAGGCGGCCCAAGGGTCCCCCTAGACCTCGCCCAGACGGCCCAAAGCGCCCCCAAGACCGCCCCAAGACGGCACGACACGGCACCCAAACGGCCCAAGACCCCAAGACGGCCTTAAGACGGCCCCAGGAGGGGCGCCTGAGGGGAAACGCGGATAGAAAATCATAGATTTTCGCCCCGACAGACTTTTTGAACCCCCAAGAGGCTCGCAAGCGGTCCCAAGAGGCCTCCAAGACCCCCCCCAAGAAGGCCCCACACAGCCCCAAGATGGCCCAAGGGGCGCCCAAGGCCCAAGAAGGTCCCAAGACGGCCCGGGGAAAGGAGTGTCGGAATCGGTGTCGGCTGGCACGGCTCATCGTTAGTGAGGGAGGGAGAGAGGGAGGGAGAGAGGGAGGGAGGGAGAGAGGGAGGGAGGGAGGGAGAGAGGGAAGGAGGGAACGAGGGAGGAGGAGGAGGAGGAGGAGGGGGAGGACGAGGAGGAGGAGGAGGAAGAGGAGGAGAAGGATGAGGGTATTAGGAGGGAGGATGATCAGAAAAGAAGAGGGATTCGAAGAAGAGGAGGAGGAGGAGGAAGAGGAGGAGGAGGAGGAGGAAGAGGAGGAGGAGGAATAATAAACGGGGTACGGGGATGTCATCCTTCTGTATGTCACCCTTGCACTTATTTCACATCTACTTGCCACAGCCAGTCACTATCGTGACCAGGATGTTTAGTCTGACGAGTCCCCCAGGGCCGACCTGCCCTGGGGGGGGCGGTGGTCGACGACTCCTCGCGCCATCAGGAGCCAGGAGCCAGGGGGAGAAATGAAGGAGGAGGAGGGAGGGGGGAAGCCGAGGGAGGAGGGAGAAGGGAGGAGGGCGGAGAGAGGGAAGGATGATGAGGAGGAACAGGAGGAGGAGGAGGAGGAGGAGGAGGAGGAGCAGGAGGAGCAGGAGGAGGACGAGGAGCAGGAGGAGGAGGAGGAGGAGGAGGAGGAGGAGGAAGGAGAAACGGGGGACGGGGATGAAAACGAGCTGCTTGTCGTCCTCGTCGCCCTTGTCGTCGTCGTCGTGGTGGTGGTGGTGGTGGTTGTTGTTGCTGTTGCTGTTGCTGTTGCTGTTGCTGTTGCTGTTGCTGTTGCTGTTGCTGCTGCTGCTGCTGCTGTTGTTGAACATTATTTATTCTAAAGAATAATTATTGTTGGGCCCCCTGGTGCGCGCCCCCCCTGCGCCGCCTAGGCCGCAGCTACATTTTCATCACTTTCGTGAGGAAGCCTCAGAAAAGAGGGTGTGTACAGGATCCGGTTGTTTTGTTGTAATCCGCTTTCCCTTGCAAAAAACAATAGAAAATGACATTTCTTGTTCTAATATAATCAAATTTCAAGAATCCCTTGCAAAAAATAAGGTAAAGTGGACATTCGCGCGCGCAAGACGAAATCCTTCCAAAACCTTAGTGTTCGCAGCGATTTTAACATAAAAACATCAAAAAACCAATGGTTTTTCAACAAAAAAATGTCAAAATCTCATCCCGCGCGCTCTTGCGGATTCGTAGGAAACCCAACACTTTTTAAACATTTCTGTCAAACGGGCTTTTGCGAGCAACTTTTTCGAACTTCTGCGACAACGGTTGCGCACCTGCCAGGGCCATCATCCCTGTCAAATAATACCATGCGGGACACATTCGTTTTTTCTTCGCGCGCGCACGCCGTCGTCGTCGGCCGCGGGGCCCTGAATAGTAGCCACGGTCGTCCGCATGCCACGAAGTGAAGTGTCCGAACGTCATAGGGCGGGAAGCTGGGTGTGGGTGGTGGCGAAGAGTCGTTTGGAAATTTGGTAGAGCTTGAACCGGCCCCCCCACAAAGTGGGGGTATTGCCCGCCTCCTATGAAAACCCTGGCACTGGTGAGAACGGAGTGTCCCCACGTGCTAGTAATTGTTGTTGTTGTTGTTGTTGTTGTTGTTGTTGTTGAACATTATTTATTCTAAAGAATAATTATTGTTGGGGCCCCTGGTGCGCGGCCCCCTCGCCGCGCCTAGGCCGCAGCCGCATTTTCATCATTTTCGTGAGGAAGTCTCAGGCAAAACGTGGGTGTCCGGATCCGGTTGTTTTGTTGTCCCCCGTTTTCCCTTGCAAAAAATAAGCTAAAGTGGACATTTCTTGTTCTAACATGACCAAACTTCAATAATCCCTTGCAAAAAATAAGGTAAAGTGGACATTCGCGCGCGCAAGACGAAATCCTTCCAAAACCTTTGTTTTCGTAACGATTTTAACATAAAAACATCAAAAAACCAATGGTTTTTCAAAAAAAAATGTCAAAATTTCATCCCGCGCGCTCTTGCGGATTCGTAGGAAACCCAACACTTTTTCAACATTTCTGTCAAACGGGCTTTTGCGAGCAACTTTTTCAAACTTCTGCAACAACGGTTGCGCACCTGCCAGGGCCATCATCCCTGTCAAATAATACCATGCGGGACACATTCGTTTTTTCTTCGCGCGCGCACGCCGTCGTCGTCGGCCGCGGGGCCCTGAATAGTAGCCACGGTCGTCCGCATGCCACGAAGTGAAGTGTCCGAACGTCATAGGGCGGGAAGCTGGGTGTGGGTGGTGGCGAAGAGTCGTTTGGAAATTTGGTAGAGCTTGAACCGGCCCCCCCACAAAGTGGGGGTATTGCCCGCGTCCTATGAAAACCCTGGCACTGGTGAGAACGGAGTGTCCCCACGTGCTAGTAATTGTTGTTGTTGTTGTTGCTGTTGTTGTTGTTGTTGTTGTTGTTGTTGTTGTTGTTGTGGTTGTGGTTGTGCTTGTGGTTGTGGTTGTTGATGTTGATGTTTATGTTGATGATGTTGATGTTGTTGTTGTTGTTGTTGAACTCTCATTTCTGAAGATAATTATTGTTGCCCCCCCCGTCCGGTGCACATTGTTTTTTCCGATTTAACTGCCCTTCCCGGGGCTCGCACCCTGCTTTTTATCAGGGAAAGTCTTGAGGGCCAAACTGTGTCGTTGGCCCCCGGTTTACAACGGCTCCCGCCGGATACTTCCTCACAACTTAGCCAGGACCCCTGGCCCCGCCCGAGACTTCCTCGCGTTTTATTCAGGAATCGCGCTCTCGCTGGGGATTTCCTCAGAATTTATTCTCCCGGCGCTCTGGAGTCGCGCTCTCGCTGGAGACTTGCTTGCAATTTACTGAAGAATAGCGCTCTTGCGATGGAATTTCTTGCAATTTACTCAAGTGCCGCGCTCCCGACACCCAGGCACCCAGGACTGTGCTCACGCTTCGGACTCCCTCACTGATTACATAGGAATCGGGATCTCGCTGCCCTTCGTGGCCCTGTTGCAGCCCTTCGTGGCCCCCTCGCTTTGTTTCGTGGCCCCGTTGCAGCCCTTCGTAGCCCCCTCGCTGCCCTTCGTGGCCCCGTTGCAGCCCCTCGTGGCCTCCTCGCTGCCCTTCGTGGCCCCGTTGCAGTTCTTCGTGGCCCCCTCGCTGCCCTTCGTGGCCCCGTCGCAGCCCTTCGTGGCCCCGTTGCAGCCCTTCGTGGCCCCCTCGCTGCCCTTCGTGGCCCCGTTGCATCCCTTCGTGGCCCCCTCGCTGCCCTTCGTGGCCCCACATCTGTATGCCCTTCGTGGCGCCCGCTCGTTCGCGCCCGTGGTGGCCCCATATGCATCTGTCCTACGTGGCCCAGTTGCTACCCTCAGTGGCCCCATCGGTGCCTTCTGTGGCTCCGCATTATCTGCCCTTCGTGGCCCCCGCTCGTTCGCGCTCTTCGTGGCCCCATACGCATTCCCTTCGTGTCCCCGCTGTTGCCCTTCGTGGCCTACTTCGTGTCCTTGTGGCCCTGCTGTCGTTCTCTTTCGCTCTCGCTTTCGCTCGTCGTCGTCGTCGCCGTCGTCGTCGTCGTCGTCGCCGTCGTCGTCGTCGTCGTCGTCGTCGTCGTCGTCGTCGTCGTCGTGGTCGGTCCCCTGTCCGTCCCTCTTGGGGTCGGGTCGACGGTCCGCGGCCGCCCCGCCGATCAG